CCAAATTTGAACTGAAGTCTTCTTGACTCAAAAGCTAGCTTTCTATCTGAGCTGCCAAAAAATGATTTTTGATCTTACACATTTGTGCTGGTTCTCCATATATCCTGGATATCAGATCCTTATTACATATATTTAATGAAACCATTTTTTCCCCAGCCACTTCTTTTCTTATCCTGGTTACAGTAATTTTGTTCACATAATTGAGTATTATCCTTTTTATGGTTAAGAAGTTTCCCTTTAGCCATAACTGTTGTTAAAAGTTTGTGGCCAAATCATCTTCTAAAATGCTTTTTAATGTATGACTTTTTAATGGTCAGGTCATATATCCATTTTTTAGCTTGTTGTGGAATATGGTATAAATTATTGGCCAAATTCTTATTTTTGCCACATTCCTTTTGAGTTTTCTTAGCAATTATTGTCAAAAAGGGAGTTCTTCCCAAAATAATTTATTTCTTGGGTTTATTGAACTTGATGTTATTGAGTTTAATTGTCTGCCTTGTAAATAAATTTTTTTCCTTTTTATTTTTTTTATCAGTAATAAGCATCAAAGAGATTTGAGAATGTTATCTTCCTCTTTTCTCCATTCTCTGTGAGGGATATACTGGGAAACATAGGTGATGTAAAAGCAAAAGATGACAATATAAAATTTAAAAAAAATTAAAATAGTTATAAAGCTATCTATTATTATTTTTATGATCCTCAGAACACCAATCTATCCATCAACAAACAAGTATTTAAAAAATGCCTACTATGTACCATGCACTATGCAAGGAACTGGGTATACAAGTTAAAAATGAAATTTTCTTTCCTCTCAAGGAGCTTATATTTTATCAGAGGAAATAATATATAGATACCAATATATATTTATGCATATACAGAATAAATAAAAAATAAATTCAAACTAGTTTATGGGCGAGGGCGCTAGTGATTGGTGGGGCAGAAAGGGTACCATGTAGGAAGTACTGACTGAGATGAATCTTGAAGGAAACAAAGGACCCTATAAAGTAGAGATTAAGCAGGAGATCACAGAGAATGGTTAGTACAAGAGTGTAGACAGGAGAGGGAACAGCATGTGGCAAGAATAGCCAGAAGGCCATTTTGGCTAGATAGTGGGGTGTGGGAAGAAAAATGATGAATAGTGAGGCTAGAAAAGGAGGTCGTTTATGAAGGGCTTTAAAAGGAATTTGTATTTTGTCCTAGAGGCAGTAGTGAGTCACTGGAGTTTATTGAATATGGGAGTGACATTGTCAGAACTGTGTTTAAGAAAACCATTCTCATTTTAAAAGGGAGATAACTGAGTTTTGAAAAGAATGTGATGCTCTTATGGTCAGAGCTATATAGCTAAGAAGAGAAGCAAATCAAATGTACCGGAACAATTGTATCTATCAGAAGAAAATGTCTTTTTTTGGGGGGTGGGTTAGGCAATGGAGTTAAGTGACTTGCCCAGGGTCACACAGCTAGTAAGTATTATGTGTCTGAGGTCGGATGTGAACTCAGGTCCTCCTGAATCCAAGGCCAGCGCTCTATACATTGTGCCACCTAGCTGCCCCTAGAAGAAAATTTCTTAAAGAAAACTTTCATATTAATGGGTCTCCAACAATTTGATTCTAAACTGGTCATTTGTGGACCCAACTAATCTCAGGGCCAACAATTTTAGCCATGCTGGGAATTGAGGGCACTTGAAATCTAGGGTTGTTATGTCCTTGGGCCACAAGATATGGGGGCTAAAACCTTCAAATCTCCATAGGTTAGAAGGAGGAGTTATGATTAGAAATTGCTGACATGGCCATTTTATTCTTTAGGACCAGCAAATATTGCTAAAAGGAAGGGTATATTTGGTTGATTGGGCATGACATAGTGAATTGAACACTATACGGGAATGATCGTTTAATTCTATCCTTTCTACTGACTTTGAGCATGTCCCTTTTCTTCTACTCCTCATTTGTAAAATGGGAGAGTAGAACTCCATCTTTAAGATTCCTTTCAATTCAGACCTCCAACAGCCAGATTTTTTGGTAACCATCCCCTGCCCCTACCCCAATACAGAGTTTATCTGCAGAATTATTTCTTATCATGTTCTGAACTTCAGGAGTTCCTTCTGGATCTTCTCAATAAAGGGTCAAGGACTTTAGTAGGTCCTTACTATGAAAGGTTGAGGAGCCCTGTAATAGAGGGTGAGAACTTGGACAATTGTTGAATAACAGAATTTCAAATCTGGAAAGGACCTCAGAGATGATCTAATCCAATCTAAGTAAGGATGTCTCCTTATAGAACCTAATGTAAGTATGAAGTGGAATCAGGAGCTTGTAATATTTTTTAACATAATGAAGAAAAATGAAAATATGAGATTATCTTATTAATTTTCATAGCCTCTGTCTGCTCTCAACTGTCCCTCTATGTAATATGTGGTAAAATATGCAAAGTGAATCTCCACCACAACATACCTGATGAGTGATGACCTAGTCTCTATTTGAAGATCAGCGATGAGGAGGGAGATTTTTGTAGGGAGCTCTCATGATTAGCAAAGTGTTCCTCATAGCAAGTCTTAATCTGCTTCTTAACCATGCTCACTTCTTTGATCAAGAGGACAGCTCTGCTTCTTCTGTGTGACAAATACCTGATGGAAGCTATTATATGCCCCAGCCATTCTCCTTTCCAAGGCTAAACACTCCTACTTCTTTCATCTGATCTTCATACAACATGATCTTGAGACCCTTTTTCCATCCTGGTTGCCCATCTCTGACTTATTAATATTAATATGGTATATCACTTGCAGTCTAATGGAACTGGCTAGTCCAGGAAACATTTACCTGGATCCAGCCCTTGTTTCCATTTTTATAATGAGAAGCAGAGCAAAATATAAGGGAATAACCCCTTTTCCCTCGGTGGAAATTAATAATGTCCTTTTCAATGTGCCACATATATAATATATGTATATATGTATATGTATATATATGTGTGTATATATATATACATGTATATACATATATACATATACATATATATCTATATATATAGATATATATGAAAGAGTTTGGGAGCCCTAGGTAATGCCACAGTTCTTCCAGTTAGTATGGGACCTTAGGCAAATCACTTTTTCTCTCTGACTCACAATTTATACCTCTGAAAAAGGGGGATAGTAACACTAGAATTGTATACCTTACATAATTTTTATGAAGATAAAAAATATAACAGAAATGAAAGTATTTTGTAAACTTTAAAGTTCTATATGAGTGTAAGTTATTATAATAATAATGAACTACCATGGGGCAGTAAATGGCAGCGTGTTATACTGAGTTTGTCTTGGGAGTCAGAACACTGGGTTCAAGTCCTGGCTCGTCACTGACTACTGATAGAGTTTTGAGATTTTTTGTCCATAGAATTTAAAGATTAAACACCCTTATTTTTCAGATGAGGAAAGAAGTCAAGTGTGGATAACGAGACTGATTCGAAGTAAAACAAAACAAAACAAAACAAAACAAAACAAAACAAAACACCTAGTAAATAGCAGAGCCAGGATCTGAACCCATGTTTTTTAATGACAGATCCAATATTTCTACTATACCTCATCTCTTTCCACCGTGTGAATTTAGGCAAGTCATTTAATCTCTTGAAGGCCCCACTTTGCTGATTTGTAAAATGGTAGGATGGGAATAGATGATCTCTGAAACCAAGATTTTAAATGGTTGACTAGCTCAAAAAGTAAGGCTTTACTTCCTCTTTCTCTAATCACCCTGATAAAACAACACCTACCTCATCTTAGTTTGGCTAATTCCTGGCAGCCAGGTCTGTATTATTTTTTTCTCTCTATCTTATTCATTTGTAGAAAAGGACACCTGGAGGATTAGTCTTCGGAAATGCTTATTGTCTAGCTTAATATAGTAACAATTCCTTTAGTCATTTATTTAAAAATTAGAAAGGCAGACCCATTCTGATCAGATGAGATTAAATCAGACATTTGTGGAGCTCAGCAGGATATTAATTTCATTCATTTGTCAGAGAAGGGAGGCTGGCAAATGCAGCTTCAAATGAGAAGGGTAGAGGTATGTGTGTGTATGTGTTGGGGGTGACGGGAGGAGAGGGACACATCAATACTTTTCATTTTATTCTAGGCTGTGATTTTAGCTCTATCTCAACAGAGAACAAGACATACATATTTTCAGGAGTGATTCAAACCATGCAGTTTTGGTAGAGCATCACATTCCCCCTCCCTCCATCCCCATGATTGACTTTCAATGCTGTTCCTTTTGTATCAGTGAAAACCTGGAGCGATTCATTGCAAAATCCAACTGAAAATTTGCCATGGGTATAATTTTGTCTCACATTTTTCTCCTCAAAAAAAATTAAAAGTATTTCTAATCTGCTCAACCTGAAACACAATTTGGGGGTGGGAGGAGGGCATTCCCTGCCAATCAGAATGAAACAAAGGAATTAATAAATGCTTGTTCAGGCTAGAGTTCATTTTCAGATAGGGAGAAGTCAATTCTTGATCCCCTTTATAGGTGAATATGAAGGGCACATGCTCAAGAACAGGGGGAGGGGAATGAAATAAAAAAACTAGAAAAATATATTAGCACGGATGCTTGAAATTTGGCAAAGCAGAAATGGCACAATATCAACACTAGTTTATGATGATAAATTTTCTCAGAGATTGCCTACCCTACAGGCAAGGATGGAACAGTCCTTTCCATTTCCAGCAGTCCGGGTCTGTATTCCCCCAAGCTACCTCCTGTTAACTGTATTTGAAATAATACTTGCTTCTTGACTGACTAAGGATATAGCATAGCTCAGATATTGAAACACATGAATATACTAAATCCTATGTATGTAACACGTGCATGTTTCTGTGCTACTGCTTGTTTTATCCGAATGTTAATTTAAAATTAATTTCATGAATAGCAACAACCTACTAGTTTATAAAAGGGGAGTGTACTTAGGAAACAGAAAAAAAAAAGCCTTGTCCCCATGATCTTTGTTCTCAAGGAATGCATCATATTTTCATCACCACTTAACAGTCTCCTTTGCGAAGCATGAAAACTGGAAAAAGACCTCTCTCTCCACGTACTAAAGTTGGGACAGGAGTGAAAATACTGGCACTGTACAGAAGCCTGGGGAAGAGTCCAAGAAAACAATTTTCATAGGCATTTGCACGCTGACCCAGGAGTTCATGCAGCACGAAGACCTTGTTATTCTTTTCCAAGAAGAATTACTTCCCTCTTGGAAACCCAGGGGAGGCACAGAGTGGCAGGTCCCTTTCAACCCAATGTACTGGGCCATCTGCCATCGGGGCCATTCAAACCCTGAGAGGCACCCCTAATCGGTAAGCAGCAGATGCAATATACAGCACTCAGAAAGCTAAGACACAGAAAATACGGAAGGGGGAACGAACATTCTCGAGGAGCTTTCTGCCAAAAAGACAAGGACAGAGAAGTAAGGGTACCTTTTGAATTCTTCCATCAATATCCAAATAAATTGCCTTGGGCCGGTAAGTTGAAAAGCCAGATCCCATCTTCTACTGAGCAGCTACTTTTTACTGTACTTTCCAAATGCCCCAGCAGTCTAAAAGGGAGGGAGAGAGTGGGAGGGAGAAACGAAAGGGGGGTTGGGGAAGATTAACCAACCAGAGCTGAGCCACCACAGCCGGATTTCTTAGTATTTCTGCTCTATATAATAGAGGGTTCAGTGCTTATGGCCCCTACTCAATCAAGCCTTTATTTTGACTGCTCCTCTCCTTTTTCCTTCCCTCTCTTCCTTTTTCTTCTCTTCTCCCCTCGTTTCTCTTCCCCTTTCCATCCATTCTACTGGGGACTGTGACAGTGGGAACTTTGGGCACTGGGAGAGGGTAGCCAAGACTACAAGGTTTTCTGGGGAGATCCGTGTTTCTTCTAGTCCAAGAATGTGGAAAGATTTAGAAGTGATGAATTTCAAGGTCATGGGCTATTTGTTGTCAACAAGATGAGGATTCCAGAGGGCCCAAAGGAATAAGAAGGTTGAGGAGAATATGGGCTATGGAGGGGATAAGGATGAGATAGAGAAGTAGAAGGTATATAAAAGTTGCCTCTGATAAGGAGAGCAGTAACTGGGAATTTGACCCCCATAGCATCAATTAATAAGGGCTGCCCATCTTCTAGGGTCCTCTGATAGCTAGCCTGGAGTCAATGCCCCTTTCAGTGGCCCAGGATCTCCAAGACTCAGAAGTCTTGATGCTAATGGAAGAACAAGGTGGCCATTAAATCTCTTAGGATTAGGTTGAACTCATGTTCTGTAGTCGTGCTGGGTTTCCCTGCAGCCTTCCTTCTCCAGAGCATACTCTTGACTCTTCAGATTTTCTCTGTCGTGCCCTTGAGCAGTATGCCTTCATTGACATTATTACCCAATTAGAACATAAGGTCCTTGAAGACAAGGCTTTTTTTTTTTTCTGCTTGTATTTTTATTCTTAGCTCAGTGCCTGGCACATAATAAGCACTAAATCTTTCTTGACTGTCTGATACCCTAGACTGAAGTAATCTCTCTCCTCTGAACTCCTCTATTACCTTGTTTGCATGTCTCTTGCTGTGTATTTTACCTTTTATGATAGTTATTGTGTATAAATATCTTAACTTCCCAGCTAGGCTGAAAGCTCATTGCCTTATTCTAAATGCAATAATTAATAGGTCAGGAGTGACCTTGGTTTAGCTCCTGCCTCTTATACTTATTATCTGTGTTGTGTGACCATGGGTAAGTCCCTTAACCTATCGGAACCTCAATTTCATCATCTAGGAAGTGGAGTACAGAGTTGTTGGAATAGTAACTCCCTTTCCAAGGTCGTTAGCATGTAATTCTCTTTCCATTAGTGCAGATGCTGTCCTGATTAAAGGGATGGCTGGAGTTGGTGAGAGGCAGAGCTTCAGTTTTAAGCACCCTTTGAGGACAAATCATTAGGGTAATTCTGGTTTTCACCTTTGAGTGAGGGGATCTGAGATGCCAACAACACTTCAGGTTGCTGAAGGAAAAAACTAGGAAAACATGAAAGGAGCCAGTATTCTCCTTCATGTCCCTATTCCCCTGCTTTCTACTTTAAGAGACTTCAAGGAATTTCCCCTTAGGTGAGATCAAGGACATTTTTTTATCTTGGTTGAGCTGAATTATTCCAATGGGAAAGTTCATTCACTCTCTATTCTTCTGTATATATTCTATGCACGCTTTCTCTGATTTCTGTTTTGCTACAATTTGGATAATAATAATAATTATTATTTGCTATTTATGTTTCTTATGGAACTGGTATTAGGTGGGATAGGGGTCAAGCCTTGGATATGGAGCTTGGGTTTCTCCTTTCCCCAAATGACAAGGCAATCAAAAGTTAGATGGAAACTGACCATTATCACCTAGATTAACAATATTTAAGGGAGTGATAGATATACTTCTGGTACCTCCTCTCTTCGAGAAGACCAGAGTGGCATCCAACCCCAACCTGCTGCTTCACCCTCCAGCAGAACTGAAAGTTTCCCTGGGAGAAGGGTGTGTGGGGGGCTGGGGGGGGGGGGGGGGAGAGAGATGAGGCTAGAGATGTCTCTTCTGCCTCCCTGTAAGCCACTCCACCCCACGCCACTCATCCTGCTCCATGAAGGGGCTCTCTCCATAGGAGTATAATTTTTGGTTGCTTGTTTTTGCAAGATATTGTTGGGTTTGGTGGTTAGATTTTTTTTTTCTAAAAGCTGGAACAATTTACTTTCTGTCCTGTGCTATTTCAGTTATTTATTTATTTATTTTTTACTTCAGACCAGCCCTTTTGTGTTTCAAATGATGCTAATTGCCTAGGCTTGTAACCCCAAATCATTTCAGGTTTTTATTGAATGGACAATAAAAGCCCTTAGGCTAGCCCAAGCCTTTTGAGAATAATAGTTCAGATTTTGAAGACTTTAAATGAATTAAAATCTGCAATTGTTTTATACTGCCTTTCTTATCAGAAAGTTGGAGGATCTTCCCCTTGCATACCAATATTTTTGTGATGGTGAATTAAAAGACCATCTTGTTTTGTCTCAATTCTTACTTAACCTTTAGTGATTGGATGAGCACTGCCCCAGATGAGCAAACTGAGGGCTGGGAAATATCCTTGAAAGAAAGTTTTCAGCATTTTTTTTTCTTCCTATGGCCAGGTTTATTCCAGAAGTGAGATTTTGTCTTCCCATTTTGGAAAACACTTATTTACATTTTTTCTTTTATTTTTCTCCTTATAGGAAATATAATTTTTTAGAGCCACAATTTTGTTTCTTCTTCATTATATCCCTGGGTATTTTTTCAGTGTAATTTTTATTTCTTTATATCAATTTTTTTTTCTGGAGGTGTAACAAGTTTGGCTTCAATCTAATGTTACGTTGATACATAAAAACTCATTAGTGCTGTTTTTGTGATTTGAATTCATGTCTTTTGCTGTGCTATTGTATTGTTTAAGCACAGTATATTAATACAATAGGCCATCATTACTGCAACACTGTACATTTGTTAATTGTATGAATATTTGTGTATTAATGTGGGCATATGTGGATCAATCTCTAGGAAAGATGAGAGCTAAGATATTTCAGGGGTATTGTTTTTCTTTTGCGGTTGAAAAACATAGAAGTCTCCTAATAACAGCAATAGATCTAGATTTTAAGAATGAGGACAGGGGCAGCTAGGTGGTGCAGTGGATAGAGCACTGACCCTGAAGTCAGGAGGACCTGAGTTCAAATTCGGCCTCAGACCAAACCCTTGACATTTACTAGCTGTGTGACCCTGGGCAAGTCACTTAACCCCAATTGCCTTAAAAAAGAATGAGGACACTTTAAGGATGTTAGACAGAAAAGTGAAAAGGACTGGAAGATTATACAATTAAGGCCACTGATGTGAAGGCAGGTGAGATAACTCAGGAAGTTTTTATAATTCTGCCTGAGAATTTTGACCATGGAGATATTGCTGAGGAATTAGCAATAGGAAGTTAGTTTTTCCTGGGAATTTCAGACTCGTCCAACCTTTGCGGTTGAGGAGTTGCTTAAAGAAATAGGAGTCTTTCTAACCCAAGGAGGTATTCCTACCGAGAGACTGAACATCACAATTATACCAAAGAACTCTACTTCATCTGTGAGTAAGGCAGAAGCTGTACTCCGTGTGTTACACAAATACCATAGGCCCCGAATTGGCTTTTTCTCTGGACATGAACTATGTCCCCAAAGAGAATAATCCTGGGACACTTGGGCTGGACCCACAAGACTGAGCCTGTGACTCTGGAAGATCCTTGAGGCTAACCAAGTGCTGAACGTGTCAGAGAGCCTAAGAGGGATAGATGCAAAGGCAGTGAATAACCTTTTAGAGGCAAGGCCAGTCGTCATTGGGCAAGAAGAAATACAAACTTTAGCTCAGAAGTTTGAGGGGAGGGGCATCTCTATAGACTCATAATGTTAATTTTGTCCCTAATGCTGTGCACCACCTGTTGAGTTCCTTCTCAGGGTGGAGCAACCTGTGCAGGGACAGGTACAGATGGGCTCCTTGCATCCTGAGAATGCTGGAAACATTGCACTACAGAGATGGTTTCAGGGCTTAGTAGTTGACCCTCATGCAGCTGATTTAGGAAAGAGGTTATATAAGATGGGATAATGTCAAGCACATATAAATGAATGTCAGTTGTTATTTTTTATATTCCCCTCCCCCCCCACAGCAAGAGATACAATAATTTTATATTATAATTAAGTACTCTATGCTTTTTTGGGAAGACATTATTGCATGTTACTTTTGTAGGGAAAAACAAGTTCTTTTTCTTTTTCAGACAAGAATGTTGCATGATTCTGTTTGACCAACTTAAGGTCAGTTGCATAACCAAATGTGCAGAGGAACAGGTAGATAATTAAAACAGTGACTCTACTAAGTTGAATATTAAGATTCATGGAGGGCAAGATTTGAATGTCTTTTACAGTGTCTGGTTCAGTAACATGCATGCAAGGTTGGTAATAAATTATTGGGTGCAGAGAATAGTGAAATTGATCATCAGAAGAGGTTTGGGGGCTGCTAGGTGGCACAATGGATATAGCACCGGCCCTAATGTCAGGAGGACCTGAGTTTAAATGTGAACTCAGACCAAACACTTGACACTTACTAGCTGTGTGACCCTGGGCAAGTCACCTAACTCCAATTGCCATAAAATAAATAAAAAGAAGAGGTTCAAAATTTTGCTAGTGATATAGTAGAATCATATGTCTTTGGTATGCTAGTATGGATTTGGAATCAGAAGACCTAGCTTTGAATATTGGTTCCGTTAACTTACTACCTGTAAGACCTTGGACAAATCACTTGTACTTTCTTGGGCTTCAGTTTCCTCATTTGTAAAATGAGAGGCGGATTAGGTAGTCTGTAAGGGGTTCTTCCAACTTTATATTGTATAATTACAAAATTTTTCTTTTTTCTATTGACTAATTCAGAAAAAAAGTAAGTAATTCTTATTCTTTGGGCACTACAGCTAGCTGAATGATTTAGATGTCTGTTTAAGCTTTCCTTTTTTGCTAATATTTTTCTTCCTAAACTGCTTGAGAAGTACCACATCATTTGTCTTTGTTATCTTTCCCTGCATGAAATACAGTGCCTTTCTCACAGGGGCAATACGTTGATAAATGCTTATTGAATCTTGGTTAATTGGTAAGTCTATGACCCCTTTTAAATTCTATAATGGAGTAGAAAAATTTATTGTGAGATAATTGATCAATATCGCTTAAAGCTGATATGTAAATATGCTTTTTCATTTTTTCTTGTGAATTTTATGTATGATGAGTAATTGATATATACTAATAATGGTTGATCTATACTAATTCTTTTGATTCTATATTCTTGGCATTTTAATTCAAATGGGTATATCATTGAACTGCTTTGAAATTTCTCCAGCTATAAAATAAGAGGATAGGACAAAGAATCACTAAACTTCCTTTTAGGCTGTTGATTGTTGAGTGAGTACCTTGACCATGCCTAACCCATATATGACTAGCCAGGGCACAGGGCTTGACTGAACTCTGTTTTTGCTGTCAGGTAGGACCAGAGATCTTTTCTGCTTCTCCTTACCCTTCACATCGGTGACCAGGTCAAGATAAGCGACCCTTCAGAAATCCACTTAGGAGAAGATGATATGCTCAACATTGGGTTGAAACTTGGGTCAAAGCTGACTTGGTTGATGATTAGAGGGTGAGTATTTCAGCCTAGGACTTCACCAGTCCCTACCTTTGACCATCAGGAAAGACCAGGGATTGGGACACTAATCCATTGTCAGTGAAATTGTGAATGGATTCAACTATTTTGGAGAATCATCTGAAATTCTGCCCAAAGAATTATTAAACGACTTATACCCTTTGACCTACCAATACCACTACTTTGTCTATTTCCAAAGACAATTAGGGAAAAAGAAAAAGAACCTATATGTCTTAAAATGTTTATAGCAACTCCCTTTGTGATGGCAAAGAACTGGAAATTGCAGAGATGTCCATCAATTGGGAAATGGCTGAACAAGTTGTGGTATATGATTGTGATGGAATGTTACTGTGCTATAAGAAATGATGCGCTTAATGGTTTTTAAAAAAGCACGGAGGGGGCAGCTAGGTGGTGCAGTGGATAGAGCACTGGCCCTGAAGTCAGGAGGACCTGAGTTCAAATCTGGCCTCAGCCCAAACACTTGACACTTACTAGCTGTGTGACCCTGGGCAAGTCACTTAACCCCAATTGCCTAAAAATTAAAAAAAAAAAAAACCCATGGAAAGACTTAAATGAAGTAATGAAGATTAAACGGAGCAGGACCAAGAGAACATTTTGTATAGTAACAACAATATTGTTTTAAGAACAACTTTGAGCAAATAAGTTATTTTGATTATTATAAACAGCAAATTAACTATAAAGGACATATGAAGAAAGACACTATATGCATCTAGAGAAAAACCTGATAAGTAGGAGTACGTATAGAATAATTTTATATATATGCCTATTTGTGTCTAATGGTAGCCATCTCTAGGGTAAGGGATAGAAAGGAAGGAAGGAAAAAAAGAAATTTACATGATAATTTTGTTGTATATTTGAAGGGAATAACAAGGTGTGCATAGTAGATTTACACTTTCATATGCAATCATCTTTTTTTGTTGTACTATGTTATGGAAATGCTTGTTTTATTCCATAAATTAAAAATAAAATTTAAAAAAAGGAAGAGGATGAAGAAAATTCTTATAAGGAGACTTTTTTTATCCTAATGAACTAAATTGCATGGAGACTATATTCTTATAAGTGAAGTTGTATGCAGTTTTAGTTTGGATTTGAGGTAATTCTGGTTGTGATTATACTCACAGCTAAGTATTGTAAATAATTATCTATGTCTTTGTTTTATTATTTATTTGATATTTAATACATTGTACCTATAGTAACCTTAATATTTAATGCCATGATATTAAAAGGATTTTATATAAAAAGAGATATGAATTACTATTATTTAGAAAAGGAGGTTTCTCCAGTTTTTAAAATATATTAAGTAATGTTTGATAAACTTGTGGTGACTCTGGCCTTAGTTGGTTGATTAAGAGACTTGTTGAAATTTTATTAATTGATGGGGCAATATATGAACATATACTCTGAATTACCCTAGAGATCAGGATAATAAGATTAAATATAGAAGGTAGTCAAGTAGCAGGCTGAAAGGTGACCCACAAGTGAATATATTGACCTAAACCCATTAAACCTGGCTTTCCTTAGAAGAACCTGAATCCCTGGCCACCTGCTCCAGTACTGGATTTATTTCCATTTACACTTCCACTGGGACAGGAGGAGAAGGAATATACTTTTTTCTCTTCACTAGTTGTATATGTACATACAGATATATACTGAATTCAGTACTTGGCACACAGAATTACCTCTCTAATCTTTGCACTTATATTTGGGGGAACTTAATTTTACCTACTGATGTACCCTCAATCATCTGTACATTCTTTTTACCACAGACACACAGAGGGATGATTATAGCCTTTATTTCATCATCATCTACAAGGGTTCCACCTCCATAATCTATAGTGCTGAAATTTCTATATCTGACCATAATCCCCCCCCCAATAACGACTTGTGCCTCACCTCAAATTCCTTCCTTTTCTCCATCCTCACCAAAACTTCCAGTCACCCCAATCTTTCCTGCTCTCTTAGACCACTTACCCCTGCTCTGGCCTGACTTTCCTCTCTTGAAAATCTTAACCTTATAAATAACTAGTTAACTTTACACTGTCCTCTATTTGTATGTTCCTTTTCTCTTTGTCCTATTGAGTCACATCCCATTTCAAACCCCAATCCTGGATTAGTTCCACCATCGACCTTCTCTGTTCCTGTTCATATGCTGTTAAACACTAATGGAGAAGTCACACAGCTATGATGACTGAATCAATCTGCTACAAATTTATGTAATTTAGTCTCAACTGAATCCATACTGTTGCATGACAATTCTTTTACCCTCTTGCAAATTGGCATGCAGCCATAGTTCCAAACCTCTTCTCAAACCATTTACATCACCTTCTCCTATCCTCTTAGCAAAGGACCTCACCTTTACTTCACTAAAAAAAAATGAGGCCATCTATTTTAAGCTATCCCTCCTGCCTAGTTCCACATTTTGAATCACCTTAGCATAATCTCTCATCCTTCCTTTGCTCCAGTCTTAGAGGATAAGATAACCTTTCTTTTTTTCAACAACCCTTTTATTTGTGTCCTTGATTCCATTCCCCTATTGTCTCCTCTGGCAGTTTGCTACTTAGATGATATTCTTATTTTTCCTCATTCTCTCTCTGTCTCTGTCTTTGTCTTTCTCTCTCTCTCTTCTTTCTTCTACCCTTGCTCATTTTTAAATATCTTTTTATCCACTTAGTACATACAATTAAATAGTCTGAATCTATATTTTTTATAAAAAACTTCACTACACTCTCGACACACTTTCTCAGTGTGTTAAGCTTCCATGGTTTCAACTATCTTACTTATTACAGAAGACTCATAAACATATATATATGTATATATTACATGTGTGTAAATTTGAATATATGTATATATCCGTATGTGCATGTATAGATGTATTTACATACAAATATACATAAATACACTTTCAACTGAACTCCAATTCTGCTTTCTCAACTTCTTATAATAGATCTCTAATTGGATGTTGTTTAAGCATCTCAAATTTATCACGTCTAAAAAGGAACTAATAATCCCTCCCACTCCCCAAAACCTTTGCTTTTCCTAACTTTCCTACTTTTTATTCCTACAACACCATTCCTCTAGTTGCCCAGGTTCTGAAATTTGTAGTTATCCTATACTCTTCTTTCTTAGACTCAATCTAATCAATTGCCACAATTGATTCAATCTTGATTCAATCTACCAATTATCAAATCTGTCCTTTTTCTGCACTTACATAAGCACCACTTTAGTTCAGGTTCTCATAGCCTCTCAACTGGACTATTACAATAAACTCTTCATTGGTCTTCCAGCTTCCAGTCTCTACTTTTTTCAATTCACAACCCACATAGGTGTCTGATCATTATTCTTTTTTTAATCATTCTTTTTTTAAAAAATTAATTTATTTTGAATTATCAACAATCACTTCCATAAGCTTTTGAGTTTTAAATTTTTCTTTCCCTCCCTCCCCACCTCTCTCCCCAAGATGGTGCACAATCTGATATAGGCTATACATATACATTCCTATTAAACATATTTTCACATTAGTGATGTCATAAGTAAGAATTAGAACCAATAGGAGGAACCACCAGAAAGAGGAAACAAAACACAACAGAAGAAAAAAAATAGCAAATAGTATGCTTTAATCTGCATTCAAACTCCACAGTTCTTTCTTTGGATGTGGATAGCACTTTCCATCATAAGGCCTTTGGAGATATCTTAGATCCTTGCATTGCTGAGAAGGGTTAAGTCTATCAATATTAGTCATAGCACAGCATGGCTGTTACTGTGTACAACGTTCTCCTGGTTCTGCTCATTTCACTCAGCATCAGTCCATACTAGTCTTTCCAGATTTTTCTGAAGTCAGCCTGTTCATCATTTCTTATAGCACAATACTATTCCATTACTTTCATATACCATAACTTGTTCAGCCATTTCCCAACTGATGGGCATCCTCTCAATTTCCAATTCTTTGCTACCACAAAAAGAGCTGCTATAAATATTTTTGTACATGTGGATCCTTTTCCCATTTGTATGATCTCTTTGGGAGCCCTAGAAGTACTATTGCTGTGTCAAAGGATATGTACATTTTTATAGCTCTTTGGGCATAGTTCCAAATTGCTCTCCAAAATGGTTGGATCACATCACAACTCCACCAACAATGCATTAGTGTTCCAATTTTACTACATCTTCTCCAACATTTATCATTTTCTTGTTTTGTCATGTTGGCCAATCTGATAGGTGTGATATGGTACCTCAGAATTGTTTTAATTTGCATTATCATTCTTATAATACAGGTCTGACTACATTGCTTCTCTGCTAAAAATGCTCTAATTGTTCCCTTGTGACTTTAGAATAAAACAAAAACTTCTCAGTTGGACTCTTTTAAATTGTTTTTTGTTTTTATATCACATTCAATTCCTTTCTCAATTTTTGAGAGTAATTTGTGTGGTATTTGTGCTAATTGTTCTTTGAAACTTTGACAGAATTCCCCTAGAAATTCATCAGGATCAGAAGTCCCTCATCCTCTCCTCTTTGGTAGTTCTATAGTTAATTCTATTTTTTTTCTTCTTAGAACAGATTATTTGAAATTTCTTTCTGTTTTTTTTATTAGTTTGAGTATTTAATATTTTTGAAGATATTTCTCTATTTCTTTTGTGTTCTCAGCTTTGTTAGCATGTATTATTTTTCTTTTTTCTGTTTTTTCTGATTTTGATTCTATAATTGTCTCCAGCCTCCACAGATATTCCCTCAATTATAAGGCCCTGTACCTCAGTTCTGTTTAATCACTTAACAGATTAGTTTTTATAAAGAAATGTTTGCTCTAAAGTTATAGCAAGAATAAACACACAAATATCACCCTAACACCTAGACTCATAATCACCCCTCCCCCACCTCCTAATCTGGAGAGGAGTAGGGGATTAGGTTCAGAGATTAACTTGGTTCCTATGTAGCACAGTCCCAAATTCTAAGTCCAAAGCCCCACTTGGGTTTGAATCCTGGGCACTCTGGATTCCTAGGGCTTTCCTGCTGGGTCATCTGGCTACACATCTGACCTAGAGTCCTCCCATGGGTTGAATTCTTGGATTCCATGGGGATTCCACCACCTGTATCTACAACCAAAGGAACAAACAAACACATAACCCTCAGCATGATTTTGGGGACCATAGAGGAGAGAAGAAAGTTCCTCACCCCCACCAGTCAGTTCATGACACCAGATCTGTGAGTAAACATGACTTTTCCTCTCTCTTGACGCCACAGAAAAGAGATAGAGTGCCCCACTCTGGAAGTTTTTAAAGATACAGCCTGTTCTGCTTACATAGTCAATCAAAAGAGGCTACTCCCATCTATAAGGTAGTTAAATGCAGGATGTCTTCTAGAAGCTGGATCATCCATGTTGGGTGATCTGGATGTAGCCAAAAACAAGCCAATGTCCAATTACATTGATTTGCTAATACATACATACATACATGTATGTACACACACACCCACACACACGCACACATACATATTTTCCCCCTCTAAGGACTACTTTAGCTGCATCTGAGAAATTTTGGCATACTGTTTCATCATTTTTCTTACATAGTTATTAATTGCTCCTATGATTTGTTCTTTGACCTACTAATTATTTTAAGATTTCTTTGGTAAGTCTTCATTTGAGTCTGTTATTGATTTGTGTTTCCTGGATTGATTATGATTTTTATTATATTTGTGTCTATAAAAATATTACTCTTTTTTTTCTTTTTACATTGATTTGCATTATCTCTGTGCTTTAACACATGGTCAGTTTTTATAAAAAGTTCCATGTGGTGCTAAGTAATATGAATATTCTTTAGCAATTCTGTTTAGAAAGACACCATAAGCCTTTTGACTCTAGTTTCTCCATCAATTTATTCAATTCTGTATTTTCTCTTTTGTTTATCTTTTTGTTAGATTTGTTGAAGACTAAGAGAGGGATATGTCTCCTGCCAGCAACGTACTGTTTCATTGCCATTGCCTCAAGCCCTGATGAATTGTGTTTTCCCAATTTTCAGGGGACCCCAGTGACTAGTATCCAAGTTCCATTTACCTACTTAACATCAGATTATCTTTTTCAAAGGGATTTTTACTTTAACAATATAGCAAGAACAAGCACAAACATTTTCTCCCAGCATCTTGATCTCTTGGGAAGGGAGGGAGACTAAGCTTAAAGTTTAACTCAGTTCCTACATAGCATAAATCCCACCAACTTCAAGACCAAAACCACACTGGGCTATCATCCTGGACCCTTGCTCCTCAGGGCTTCATCCCGGATCCTGGTGCTCCTATATCCCCATGGCTCTGTCTCTTAGGTCAGAGACTCTACTTCATATAGCTCAAAGAATGGATAAAAAAAGCCAAAACCCCAGGCTCATTTCTTGGGGTCAAGGTACCATAGGATGGTAGAGGTGATGGTGGTGCGGAGGAGGAGAGGTGACCATCACATTCAGACAAGAATGCAGAAAAAGTGCAGACTGTACTCATTTTAAAAGGTGCAGACAATTCTGGCTACATAGCCCATGAAAAAAGTCTGCTACTAACCATGTGGTAAGCCAAAGCAGAATGTCTAAATAAATGCCAATTCTTTTGTCTCCCAGAAGCAAACCCCTATGTATCTTCCACATGGGTGACACCATTTTAGGTGGTACTTAGAACCAGTTTCCTGTTTTAAACATTGGTACTTTAAGGAAGGAATTTGCTGCTTTAGATAAAGTTAGGGCAAACTGGAAACAGCATGGACTTAGGGGGAAAATTATGGACATGTTGAGTTTAAAAGGTCCCCAGGGACATCCAATTAAATATCCAGTGGACAAGTGGTGTCATAAGACTGAAGTTCAAGGGAGAGATTGGGTATGGATATATAAATCTTGGAGTCATTTGCATATAGATGATAGCTAACTCTGTGGGAACATGTGTGTTATGTTCTTTCATTTTTGTATCTTGTGTGCCTAATTTGTTCCACTGAACAACTTTTCCTTGTTTTGACTAGTACTATGGTTTTGGTGATTGTAGTATAGTTTAATATCTAATACTGTTAAGCTTCATTCTTTCCATTTTTTTGGTGATTTCTCTTGTGTTCTTCCTGGTGAATTTTGTTAAGCATCCTTTTGTAAGCCTGCTTGGTATAGCATTAAATTTGAAAAACAAATAAGTTGTGTTGTGATTTTTATTATAGTGATATCTTCCAACCATAAGCAATCAGTCAGTCTAACTATTGAACTCTTTATTTCTATAAAAAGTATTTTATGGCCATGTTCATATAATATCTCTGTGCATCTTGATAGTTGAACTCCCAAATATTTGAACATTTTTATAGTTATTTTTATTTTAATTCTTTCTCCTCTTGTTGAATTTTATTGATAACATATGAAAGCATCATGATGTTTGTGGATTTGTTTTGTAGCCTGCTACATCAATGGAATTATTAATTACTTCAATTACTTTTTGCTTATTCTTTAATGTTCTTTAAGCCATTAAGTAGACCAATAAAAATCAATAATTTTGTTTCTTTTTTGCCTAAGTGCGTTCCTTCAGTTTGTTTTTCTTGTTGTACCTCAGATTTCTAGCATTATATTCTGTTAGTGGTGAGAATAGAAATCTTTGCTTTAACCCTTTTGTTATTAGAAAGGACTCTTGTATATCCCCATGGCATATAATGCTAGCTCTTGGGTTTAGATAGATAGGTCCATTTATATCTTTATTTTCTAGTGATTTTAACAGAAATGGATGTTTATGCTTTTTTATATAATCATGTGATTTTTGTTGTTCATGTTATTAATTTGGTCAGTTATAGTTACAGTTTTCCTAATATTTAACCAACTCTGCATTCCTGGCATACATTCAGCTTGGTCATCGTGTATTATCTTTTTGAATTATTGCTGTAGGGTCTTTACCAACATTTTACTTAAAATTTTGGGGTCAATATGCATCATTGGGCTATATTTCTCTCTGTTTTGATTCTCCTTTCTTAGGTATCAAGACCATATTTATATCATAGAACGAATTTGGCAGGATACCATCTTCTTTAATTTTTGTAGTTTATAGCATGTAAGAGTTAATTGTTCTTTGAATGTTTGATAGAACAGGCTTGTAAAACCATCTGGTCCTAATGTTTGCTTTTTTCCCTTTGGATGTTCATTTATAATTTGTTCAATTTATTTTTTTAGAATTGGGTTGTTTAAATTCTCTATTTCTTGTTTTGTTATTTTGTTATTTATACATATTCATCCATTTTATTTAAGTTGTCAGTTTTATTGGCACATAGCTGGGCAAAATAATTTCCAGTGATTTCTTTTATTTCTTCTTTATTTTTGCAGATTCTCCTTCATTACAGTGTCTGCCATTGTGTGTATGTGTGTGTGTGTGTGTGTGTGAGGGAAGGATGTCCTTATTGGAAAGGCACACAGGGATCAACACAAAAGCCAATGAGTTTCCTTGGGGTTGCTGACAGGCATCTCTAATAATTAATGTTCTCTGGTGTTATTCATGATTTTTAAAACCTGTGAGGCATTATCATATTTTTATCTTGGGGAAATCAGACTCAGTTACTCTGAAGTTTACATTACACACAATTCCTTTTCAAAAAAATTTTTGGTGTTGCTGCAAGTCAGAGAAAACAATTACTCTGTCATCTTGTTTTTTGACCAATCCACCAATGATTTCTTTGGCTATGTAGTCCCTGTGAAATTTTAGCTCTAGGTTTCCTTTCCAGGTATGTTGTACTTACCTCTTCTTTATGCACTCTATGTTCGAACCAAACCCTCCTGCTTGTTCTTCTTAATTTGTGACATTCCTTCTCAATTCTCCATGCCCTTATTCTTGGAATACACTTCTTCCTAACTCTACCTTTTAGAGTCTCTACATTTTAATTCAATCCTACAACATACCTGTAGTTGTTCATGCTCTCCCTTCACGTATCACATATTATGTTTTTATTATGTTTTTGTTTTCTATATACATACATATTTAACCTTCTACATGCCTATTTCATTTTTATGTTGTTCTCTAATAAAGTATAAGCGTATTGAGGACAGGAACTGTTTTGCTTTTGTCCTTTTACCTTCAGTGCCTAGAATAGTGCCTGGCTAATAGTAGACACGCATTCTCACAGATTATGCCAATAGAGCACAAAGGTCAGTGGATCATACCATGTTGGCAAATCTTCTAGTTTCGAATGTTGGGGCCATTGATTAAGATCAGAGAGTCTTATAAGAAGATTGTTTATAATACATTGTTATTATTAACCACATCATCTCAAAAAGATTGTTGTTTACTTAAGTATAAAGTAATTGTGATATGCATTACTGGAGGGGATGCCCATGTTGATAAAATCACAGATCTTTTGATGTATCACTGATAGAACCACAGTGAAATACATTTCCTATCCTATTACATTCCTCTTGATGCTTGATTATAATTTCCAGAACTGAAATCTCCTAAGACATCTGCTCGGACACAGGAGATTTTTCCATAGAGCTAGGAGGGAAAGAGAGAGAGGGAAAACTGAATGAATGAGCTTAAAGGTGTTCTTTAGGACCTTGGCAGTCTTAACATATCTCAGAGACCCATGAAGGAGAGAAGTCAACCATTGGGTATGCATGTGTGAGTGAGCCAGACAGAGGTCTCCTGCTGAGGAGTACTCTGTGCTTTTTCATGGTTTAGCTTTCATTATGGTTACTAAGATGAACCTCAGAGTATTTGTGAAAAAATTTAGAAATCTAAAGTCAAAATGAGTACACAATTTAGATATACAATAAGCAAACTTGGAGAGCAAGGAATAGTTTACCTGTCAGATTTATGGATAACAAAAGAATTTATGACCAAACAAGAAATTGAAAACATTATGAAATGCAAAATAGATAATTTTAATAACATTAAATTGAAAAGTTTTTTGCACAAATAAAGTCAATGCAACCAAGATTAAGAGGGAAGCAGAAAACTGGGAAAGAATTTTTATAACCAGTGTCTCTGATAAGGGCCTCATTCTAAAATATATGGAGAACTAAGTCGAATTTATAAGAGTACAAGTCATTCCCTAGTTGATAAATGGTCAAAGGAATGAACAGGCAGTTTTCAGAGGAAAAAACTAAAGCTATCTATAGTCATATGAAAAAATGCTCTAAATCATTATTGATTAGAGAAATGCAAATCAAAATAACTCTGAGGTACCACATCACACCTATCAGATTGGTTAACATGACAAAACAGGAAAATGATAAATGTTGGAGAATATGTGGAAAATTGGAACATTAATGCATTGTTGGTGGAGTTGTGAACTGAACCAACCATTTTGGAGAGCAATTTGGAACTATATACAAAGGGCTATAAAAATGTACATATCCTTTGACCCAGCAATAACACCCACATTTACAAAAATAGTTATTGTAGCTCTTTCTGTGGTGGCAAAGAATTGGAAATTGAGGGGGTGCCCATTAATTGGGGAATGACTGAACAAGTTGTATATGAATGTAATGGAATACTATTGTGCTATAAGAAATGATGAACACGCTGACTTCAGAAAGATCTGGAAAGACTAGTATGGACTGATGCTGAGTGAAGTGAGCAGAACCAGGAGAATATTGTACACAGTAACAGCCGCGTTGCATGATGACTATGATAGACTTAGCTCTACTCAGCAATGCAAAGATCTAAGATATCTCCAAAAGTCTCCTGATGGTAAATGCTATCGACATCCAGAAAAAGAATTATAGAGTTTGAATGCAGATAGAAGCATACTATTTGCTCTTTTTTTCCCTTTCTCTTTTGTTTTGTTTCTTCTTTCTTGTGGTGCCCAGTATTGGTTTTAATTCTTCTTTACAACATGACTAATATGAAAATATGTTTAATAGGAATGTATATGTAGAGTCTATATCAGATTGCACACTGCCTTGGGGTGGGGAGAGAGGAGTGGGAGTGGGAGAAAATTTAAAACTCAAAACTTATGGAAGTAATTGTTGAAAACTAAAAATAAATTAATTAATTAAAAAAAAACTTTAGAAATCTGATTGACTATTGCAATGATAAATCAAGAATCCAGAGGATTGAAAATGAAATTGCTGAGGTAGTAGAAAGGAAAAATAATAAATGTGCATAGTGTTTGGTTAAAATGCAGTGCTAAATTATTGAAAAGATATTAATTGCTCTTTGTATTAAAACATTTGATAATAAAATAAAAAGATGAAAATATTTCCTAACTACATGCTTTACTTATTTAACACCAAGCCAATCAAACTACCCAAGAAGTTTAATTTAAAAAGAAATAGAATACTTGCTCAGTGGAACAGATTCCTAGGCACACAAGACCCAGAAGCGTCAACAGACTCAAAGATCTATAACTACTGGGGTAAGAGCTCAAAAAAACTTCTGGAAAAATCGGAAATCAGATTAGAAAAAGTTAAATTTAGATCAACTTCTCATATCACATACCACACAAATGGTTGTTGTTGTGTTGTCTTTTGTCATATCCAACTCTTTGTGATCTCTTTTGGGGTTTTCTTGGCAAAGATACTGGAGTGGTTTGCAATTTCCTTCTCCAGCTCATTTACAGGGCCAACAGGGTTAAGTGACTTGTCTAGGGTCAGACAGTTAGTAAGTATCTGAGGCCAGATTTGATCTCATGAAGATGAGTCTTCCTGATTCTAAGCCCAGTGCTCTATCCACTGTACCACCTAGCTGCACATCACACATATTAGAGGATCAGAAAAAGAAATAAACTTTCACAGTTAAGGATTAAGAAAGAATTCTTAACCAAACAAGCTACAGAGAATAGTATAGAACATAACATAATGTAAGCCCCATTGCATGTGGGTTTGGGCAATTCCTAGAAAATCAGCCCAGATTTATAATGCTGTGTACATATGGAGACAGAAGTAGGAAGTAAGAAGGAGAAGGTGAGAGTCAAGGCACATACTTTGAATGTCACATAAGAAACTTCCCAGAGACACTGTCATTTGGGAAAAGCAGACCCACCAACAGATTTTTGATTTTTAGTACCTGAGGTACTACAATCAATAAAACTTATTAGTACTTTTAAAAAGATCCAGGGAGGGGGCCAAGATGGCAGAATGAAATAATGTTTTTGCTGAGCTCTCCCAACACACTGCTCTAAATAACTTTTAAAAAAA